TTAAAATTTTACTACATTCCGTCAGAGCTGTTATCATTTAAACTTAAAGTTATTATCCCGTCTACACGCAACCCCCCTTATATACTTTCTCTCACTTCAGACTAAATAAACAAAATCAAGGGACAAAAACATCATGGAGCTTAAACTTACAATCTTTCTTGTTCTACTCCTATCAACAACCATTCTCCAATCTTCATCAGCGAACCCAAACCGGTTCATCGAGTCATCATGCCAAACCACCCGATATCCATTAGTATGCGTGCATACCCTTTCTGCTTACGCCACCAAGATCCGCCACAACAACGACCAAGATCTTGCCCAAACCGCTCTCACCGTCAGCTTGGCTCGAGCCAAATCCGTTGCTATCTTTGTTGCCAAACTAACCAAAGAGTAAGCTCTCCTAATAGTACCATTAATCTCTTTTCTTTTCTTTTTTTCACAAACGATTTTCATTTATGGATTATACGAATACATTTTTTATCAGTTTAACCAATAGAAATACAAAAGTGCTAGTAAACGATAAATTAATTTCCGGAGTATAACTTTGGCGTAAACTATATAAAGTTAATTTTCTTCAAGCATTAAATATTTTTCTTAACTAACTCACAAACATTTTTAAAAATATAGATCGCCAAGATTCAAACGTAGAGAGTATTTAGCAATCAAAGATTGCATCGAAGTGTTAGGCAATAGCGTGGACCGGTTAGCTCAATCGGTTAAAGAACTGGGTCGAGCTGGCCATGCCGTGGCTAGTGAGGACTTTATGTGGAAGATGAGTAACGTTCAGACATGGGTCAGTGCTGCTTTGACGGACGAGACAACATGTGTGGATGGATTCTCTGGTCGAGCCATGGAAGGCAAAGTGAAGAGGATGATTCGGTTTAAAGTGGTTCACGTGGCTCAAGTCACTAGCAATGCGCTTGCTTTGGTTAATCAGTTTGCAGAGAAACGAAGTGTGAAGATTCCCTAAATGAAGTTTTGTTTTTAAAAATGACTAATTATTGTGCAAATTTTGGCTTGTATGAGAAATCTTGAATCTAAATTTCAAAGTTGTGTAAATTTTTATCCTTTTTTTCTTGTGGGTTGGAAAAAAGACAAAAGATTGTGTAACAATCTTTGTTGTGTTCTG